TACATCGAACGAAGTTATATATGGGAGCTATATCCAAATCTGAACCGATCTCGATAAAATTTAGCAAAGGTATTTATGAGCTGCGTTTGATATATTTCCCCAAATATTGTTGTTACAGAGTGCATATTACAGCTGCGGAGGACAAAAATAACAAATCGGATGAACAATATATATGGGAGCTATAGCAATATCTGAAAATTTGGCATACTAGTTTCTAGACTCAATTCGGTTGCAAGTGCCAAATTTCATCCAATTTGGGCAAATATTAGACGTTTGGTGCACAATAGAAGGTACATCGAACGAAGTTATATATGGGAGCTATATCCAAATCTGAACCGATCTCGATAAAATTTAGCAAAGGTATTTATGAGCTGCGTTTGATATATTTCCCCAAATATTGTTGTTACAGAGTGCATATTACAGCTGCGGAGGACAAAAATAACAAATCGGATGAACAATATATATGGGAGCTATAGCAATATCTGAATCGATATCGGTCAAATTAGGCATACTTATTTACAGGACTAATTTGGTTGTATGTGCAAAATTCCATACTATTCGGGCTGATATAACACGTTTGGTGCTAAATAAAAGGCAAATCGGACGAAGGTATATAAGGGAGCTATATCTTAATTTTTACCAATTATCTGCAATTTCAATAGGTAATCACGTCTTTTGTAATCACGCTACAGTCAAAACGACTTAAGATAGAAAGCTAAAATTTCGCACAGATCCCTCTTTTGCCTGCAGGCAGGTCAAGTACGAAGATGGGCTATATCGGTCTACGATATCATATAGCCCCCATGTAACGGTACCCCCCGATATCCGGTATTTTCATGATTTTATCCACATCTCCAATGAAAATCCACACAAGGAGTTTTCTGTAAGCACTTTACTCCCTAAAAGAGAATTGTCTATATAGGTCCACGATATCATATAGCCCTCATATAACGGTGCCCACTGAAATTCGGGATTTTGATGATTTGAGCCACATTTTTCAACGGAATTGTCTGAAATTCTACACAAGGAGTTCTTTGTGAGCACTTTAGCCTCTGAAAGGGAATTGTCTATATAGGTCCACAATATCGTATATCCCACATATAACTGTCCTCCCGATATTCGGGATTTTGATGATTTCAGCCACATTTTCCAATGGAATTATCTGAAAATCCACACAAGGAGTTTCTTGTGAGTATTTTTTTCCTTTGATAGGTCGACGATATCCTATAGCCCACATATAACGGTACCCCCCGATATTAGGTATTTTGATGGTTTTAGTCACATTTTTAACCGAAATTATCTGAAAATCTAACAAGGAGTTCTTTGTGAGTACTTTACCCCTAGACATAGATTTGTCTATATAAGTTCACAATATAGTATATCCCCCCATATATCGGCACATTCCGATATTGGATAATTTAAATATTTTAAGAGAACTTTTAATGGATTTTTATTTTTTAGTTTTTATTTTATTTTATTATATATATTCGTTCCAAATGGTGGAGGGTATTCAAAGTTCGGCCCGGCCGAACTTACTGCTTTTTTACTTGTTTTTACTAACACAAGATCTACTGTGAAGATGGAATTTATCGGTTCTTTTTTTCTGGGACCTCCCCCACAAAGGGTATTCACTATATATTCACTATATCCATGAAGCTCATAAAACGCGAAATTGGCATCCGATTTCATTCACACATAGCACATCTCATTATTTCTATTGACACAAGATCTGTTAAAAAGATTATAGAGATCCAACGATCTTTATAATCTTTCTTTACATAGAGTTCAAGATTTTGAAAAGCAAACAGCTCAAAGAAGCGAAATAACTCTCATCAACTTTCATACATACACACATTTTGGCTAATACAAGATCTGTTGTGAAGATTATATATATCTGCGAACCCCTTCTAGTACCTCACCCACAAAGGGTCACCATTTTCAATCATTTTATCTGTAATAACTTACGAAACAAATCAGCCATTCTTTACAACTTACTATATCTAAATATTTTTCTCAACCAAAAATCTGAGATTAATATGAAATTTTGTGAATTGGCATAAAATTGAATAAAAATTTTTGATTTTGCCCATACCAAGATTTTTCCCTGTATTAGATGAGGTATGAAAATCTAATGCTCGAATCTGATTTTTTTCTCACTATTTCAGCTGATGAGCGGTGTGTTTTCAACTGAGAATTTTTATTGTCTTTGAAAAAATACCAATAGCGGTTTATTATATTGAAATATCCTTTAAAATAATTTTCATTTTTTTTTTGCTTTGTACTATCCATCAAGTTGTCTTTTCTAAAATCATAAACTTTTAACCTGCAAACAAATAGAAAGACACACAAAACAGTAAATTATGAAACAATTATGGCGGATGTTGCTTGCCATTCAACAAACAATGTGCAGATGTAAACTCGCACACACAAAAACACAAACAAAACAATGGCAATAACAACAACAACAACAGCAACAACATTTTTAATCAAACACAAAAATGGCTACCACAAAATGTAGTCTTTGTCGGTACAATGGCTATGATGAATGTAAAGAAAAAATGGGAAAATAAAATAAATAAACAGTTGTTTAACAAGCTAGCCAATGAGAGTGTGAGATTGTAGAGAACGCTTTTGAAGTGTAGTAGTAGTACAATATGTATGAAGCATACATGTTCGGTGTAAATATTCACATTGATAATAGATTTTGAAATTGGGGTATTGTGAATGATTTTTTGGAAGTAATTTGTACTATAAAATTTAGCTATTCACAGGAAACATGTGTACTAGAATTGTACGAAAGGAACTAAACAGTACTATATTTGGTACAATTTGGTATTGGGAGAACGCATAGTGCTTAAAATCTGAAATTTGGTATTCATATGGACATATGGAGGTGATTTGGGAGATGTGTACTATTATTGTGCGAAAAGTCCAAAATGGTACTAAATTCGCTCTTGGCTAAAGGAATAGATATAACAATTAAATAACCGTTGATAGCTGAGATGGATTTGGAAATCAGTTCTATATTTGTACGAAAAGTTCTAACTGGTACTAAATTTGGAATTGACTGGTATCCACAAATTTGATATTTAGGTCTCTGTTGGTGTCTGGTATTGAGATATGTAGGTGATTTCGGAAATGTGTACAATAATTGTACGAAGAGTACTAAGTAGTACTGAATTTGGTATTGGGTGAGGGAATAGAGCTGAAATCCTGAATTTTGGTGCGGATGTCACTATTGGTGTCTGTGGTTAAGATATGGAGATGGGTTTTTAAATATGGATTATACATGCTCGAGAAGTTTTAAAAAGTACTAAATTATGTATTGGGTGAAGGGGTTATTCAATGTGGTATCATATGGTGCGTTGCTGTGGTTCATGCTTCACTGGACCCTAACTCAAAACCGTTATCTCAGATCGTGTAACGCCTGTGGTACCATGTTTGTCTCTGCATGCAGGGAGACCATTCAAGGATTGACGAAGAATCTTTATGAGTTTCCACGTTCAGAGCCGAACCCCCACAAATCACGACAAAGTCAACTGGTCCTACACCACCAACGAATCTGAGAACGTTCTTCAAGACTTCCCGTTTAGGATGGATTTTACTCCACTTACTCGGGTTTCAGAATACAACAATCGACAGGTTTTTCAATATGTCATAATTAAGATCTTGTTGGAAGGAAAATGAAAGTTGCTGCCGCCCCTACTGGGGTCAGACGCTGCTGGGCTCGGCGGGCCGTTAAGCCCGTTTTTTTTAATGAGAGTACCTCATTTGTTATTTTATTGGGTGTATACCAAGAAATATTTCTAAAGCCCTCTTTGGCGTATTCCTCTTTGCCCCGCGGATGCCTTCCTAACGCCTTCTGTTGCACATTTTATCCATTTCTTTCCATCAGGCTACTGACACATACGTTAGAATAGGTCTAACTACGCTTCTGAGTCATTTTTGTATTTAGTACCCATATTGAAGCTATTGTTCTTCCTGTGTGAGTTAACCAATCAACCCTCATTTATATGACCTAAGTCCATTTTCAGACTTTTTGGCTGAACGCACATTCTCTTCCGAAGTAGTTTCCCGATTCTTTAATTTTTTATAAATTTTCTTCTACGAAATTTCCGAATTCAACTCATATTATTCCCCATATAACATCCGTACTGATCCTCAGTTAAATTTCTATGTTAATCACATTTTTATGAAGAAGTATGGTTAAACACAAAAATGTCTGAGCTTTCTATTAAATCCAGACGATCGCTCGAAAATTTGCATGCTCTTAGATTAAGAACAAGTTCCTCAAAATTCAGTAGTTAACAAATATGGTCTCACGACATTTTTCTCTCCTATTTTTTGATGAAATATTTTATGTGTTGACAAGCTAATAATTTGCTAATTAATCTTTTAAAAAAATTGTGCCCACTTATAACGCCTTGGATTTAACGTTTATGTATTTATCCGTTTCGACGACGCTAATTGATTGACATGATATTGCTGTTGTTTATCTGTAGTTATGCCTAAATGAGTATTTAATACTGCATATTTACTACTACTATTTTTCCCAATACTCATGCAAACACAAACCCAGCCCCCTTTACCCCACCGAAATATAAACAACGGCATGTTCTCTTTGTACTCCATATGCGCTGTGTCGTTCTCTCGAAAGAGCAAGAGAAATTACGGAGAATAACATTGACTCCGAGAAAATGAGATTAAGTGGGAATCAAATGGGAGCATTTGTTTATAACTGAAAGAGTGAATGTTGAAGAGAGAGATAGAGAGCTCCCATTGAATGTGGAGCATTGTGGATGGCAGCGGGCAACACACTTGTTGAAAATTCAATGAATGCACCGCTCTGAGTGAGAAACCGTTGATTGTATTATTTTGCATTGCTCTTCTCATGTGCTCTACTCTCATGGTGTGGCATGTTCTCAATTTTAAGAGTCCCTCTTCTCTGTGCATGTTAGCTCCATAACAAACCAGCCTGCAAGACCAACACAACACACAGTGAACGTTGTGGCTGGCTGGCTGGCTGGCTCTTCTGTGTTGGCCGTGTGGCTGACTCGCTGGCTGCTGCTGCTGTTGTTGATGTTGTCGATTATTTTTGGGGGGCCAACACAAAAATGGCAACACTACACGATTTTAGTTGTATTTCTACTGTTGTCATTGTCGCTACACACAACATCTGTAATTTATATTGAATTTTTCGAATTGTGGTGTGTTTTCCTTTCGTATTTACGTACCAATGCGAAATGCATTCATGCGTACCTGCCTACCTACCATCATAGTCATCAACGTCGTCGGCAGCAACAATAGCAACAACAACAACAGCAGCGGCAGCAACAATAATCCTACCAACTGCTACAACGTATGCCAAATGTTGTCGATGTTTTTGTTCTTTATTATTTTTTACTGATGTGCTTGTTGTTGTTTTTTTTATATTTTTTGCATTTGCACTCTATAGAGTTATGGTATTTTTTTCCTGCCTGTTTTTATTAGTCGATGTTGTTGATTATAAACGTAAATGCATAACGCGCGGTAAAATATTATAAAAAAATAAATAAGAATAAAAAAAAGAAAATATCGGAATAATTGAGAAATAATAACAAAAAATGCATTTTGGATAATAACCCCCCATCAGCCATCAAATCAGCAAATGAAAGTTTAAGGTGAATAACTTAAATAGTTGTAAGATATAAAAAAGAGGATATTAAAAATAATTTTAAATTGAAAATTAAATAAAATGGAAAATAAATAGATTTAGTTATAAAAAAAAAACTAACCAAATAAAGAGAAAAAATAAATAGTTTAAAATTCTAATAAAAAATGAATGAATATTATATTAAGTGAACTCAGATCTATCCGTATGGCTCTAATCAAATTTCGTTGAAATCTTCAATAATTTAATATATTTCAAAAGATTTCTTAAAAACCAATTCTTGCAAGATATTAAAAAAATCTGGAATTTTAAAAAAAAAAAATGTTATTAAAATCCCTTGAGTGTTGTTTATGCCACAGGAATTATTCTCAGCTATAAAAAAAAATTGAGTTGCAATGGATAAATGTATGAATAACCGGGGATAACCTTGTGTGGATTATACACCGATATCATTACTACAACATTAATCTCAATAAGGAAACTACATGGATTATTAAATTTATTTGGATACCTACCTTAAACAAAACTTGTTGGATTAAATGAAGTCTTATCGTAGATAATAGGTGATTATAATAAAATTACGCTTTTTATTACAAAAATAAGTTTATTTAGTGTCCTTCTTGAGCCGACGTACACAAAAAAGGCGGTATGAACGAAATCAAAGATTTTGGTAGTACATGTATAGTTTGGACGTCTTGGGCAATAATGCCGACGGAAATGTTAAAATAATACAAATAGACCTAAGAATGAACAAATTTTGTGACGTTTTTTGCAACTTCTCGAAATATTTATCTGAGATTTCCTATAATATAAGGCGTATATTCATGATCTTTAGATCGTGATTGCATTATTTTAGGTGAAACTTCAGAATTCTTCAAAAAAGTCTATCATAAGCCTGAATGAGTGGTACTGGAAATACATCGGTTCCCGCTTAGGAAAAACCCTTCTATAATGCACCCTTCTATAATATTCCCTTCTAATTATTGAGACTTTAGATGTTTCAGCCACAACCCCAACAGCAAAATAGCTCTAATTTTACATTATGAGTTCCCAGTATGAAGAATCTCATCCCGCAAAGTTATTGGTCCTTTATAAGTTTGATTGGGCGAAAAAGTTTGTAAGTCCTCGAAATATTGGTCCCATGTAGCATTTAGATCCTTCCCTATTGATCCGAACTAACTCTATTCCTGAGTTCTCTTCCTATTTTATCTGAAATTTGGATAAAATCGAATGTAGGGTTAGAACAGAAGTCCATTGTTCAAAGATATGTTCGCCATAAATTTTACTGATTTTGTAGTGGCCCTACAGGTCACTATTATTATAATTATTATTATTATTATTATTATTATTATTATTATATTTATTATATTATTTATAGGTTTCAGCTGCAATTTCCAATTAAATTGGGATAGTTTACGTGTTGAGTTATGTTTATGTGGAATATATCTTTAAACATGTTCTCACTATAAGTATAGGAGCAAAAAATAGGTCCACGAGCAAAGAAAGCGCAAGTAAAATTTTCGGATTTTTAATATGCTCACCAAGTCATTCTATCTGAACATTTTCCTCCGCCCACCAAAGTCAAAAAGGAGCGCATGAGACTAGAATCTTAAATCCTGGCATGAGAGTTATTTTAGGGAGGAACGTCATCTATACATTAATTTCAATATAGTCTTGTTGCAGATTTGTTGGGTATGATGCATACTTTTAGGCACTATCATATGATAATCTACAGGATGATTTAATAAAACTGCAACAAAGTCAAACACCATAATTTTAATTTTTTTTTTGTTTTAATATTTTTGAATGAAAGCAAAAATTGTCGGAAATAGCATCAAATTTTTGAAAAAGTTTAGGTTTGGTTACCGAATTGGTTACCTTTGGCACGAATTATGGCTTTCTAACGGCCAATGAAACCGTCAAACGCGAAATGAAGCGAGGAACCTCATTTTGTAACCGTTCATGGGTGGCGCGTGCTGAGTGCTATGGTGCTGAGTCCTGTTGGAATGTCCAAGGTCTGCGGCCAAAATGCACCCTCCAGAATATTTTCGTGATCATATTCGGCATTTATTCTCGATTAATACGAGCGGAGTGCGACCATCGGCTGTTATGGCAGCCCACACAATCACCATGGCCAGCGCTTGAGTTCTGGTGGCCAACCGAAGGTGCACACTTTTAGCTGACCTCTTTGGCAGAGAAACACGATCATTTTATTTGTTTACAAACTGCTGGGCAACGAATGTTTTCTCAACGGAGAAACCCAATTTCGGCAGTTCACCACTTCCGGCTAGCTCTTTTGAGTCTATTTTCTTTCTGTTGCGGTGTAAGTTCTTGCACTTTTTGGAATCTCAATGGTTTTACCCCGAGGTCATTTTTCAATATTTGCCAAATGGAATATTGCGATATGTTCAGGTCACGAGCCATTTTTCGGGTCACTGCGACTTGAGTTTAGATCAAGTCGCTTCTTTACTTTTCGAACCATTTCTGCTGATGTTGCTGTTTTCTTCCGTCCACTTCCTTGACGTCGGGCTACGTAACCAGTATCACGGTAATGAGCGATGGTACGAGACACAAAAAATTTATTCAAGTTTAAATGCTGGAGTGTTCTAACGATAGCCACTTGTGGTTTTCCAGCCAAATATTAAGAAATCACATCATCACGCTTGAATTCCATCACGAATAACTTTTTTTCTGGAAAATTTTAACCAAAATGCTTTTGTAGGCTTGTAAAAACTGTAATGAGCTGTCATTGGAATAATTTTAACAGCAGTCGGACAAGTGGCTTAGAAATGACAGTAGTCTGAATTTGGTTGAAGTTTTTTCATCTCACCCGTTAACCTTTTTGTTACGGGAGTTCTATTAAATACGCACAGTTGTGAAGTGTATAATATTGTCGGCTCTGCTCGACTGTTGACCTTTGCTTAGTGGTTTGATTTAATAAAGTGGAATTATTGTATAACTTTTTATAACGCCATCTATACTTTATTTTGATATCTCATGTAGCTTTAGACGAATGCAAAAAATATCATCTAGACGGATGCACTATGGGCTAATTTGTTTTTTGTGAATTTTCCAATACAACTCTATAACCTTGAAAGTCTTCTCCTATCTACGATACGTTCAGTAATATCCTAGACAACTTTAATTCCCATATAGTGACATCTGTATGACATATCTAACACGGGTTATGCGCATAATTTTAGGCATCAAGAAATAACAGATGTTTTATGCTTCTTTCTGTACCGAGAAATCGGGTTGATCAAAAGTTTTGTATAATATTCATTTGAAGATTTGTCGTAAAAGCGCCATCTGTACGTCAATCTGATATTGGTAGATTCTGAGCAAATTATACTTCTGCGAAAATAGAATACATAGTAAACATACATCTTTTTGTTGCTAAGAAATGTGATTTCGTTGATATGTTCTAATATGACGATTTCAATTTGAGAATTCTTCTTGGATTTTGCACAATATATTTGATAACAGTATGCCGAATAAAACACCATCTATATGTCGTATATGTCTGAGAAAAATTAACTGTTGTGCATACTTTTGGGGAGCACGAAACTACGAAATACCTTATAAATGATAAAGAATTTTGTAGTTGGAACAGATGTATTACTTTGCGGAATGGAAAAAATTTTGTAGCAAGAATTTTGAATGGTTTTATTGTCAATTCTGTTTTGTGGTAAACATTATTTGACAAAATAGCTCCTATTTACAGGAGTAGGCGCCATCTGTAAGTCATGGGCACAATGCACAGTTTTGTTATTCAGCAGAAATAAAAACAAAATGAGCACTAAACACCTACCAAAGCTGTGCATTAAAACGTTATAACAAGCGCCATCTCCACTTGAGTTTTACAACAACTTTATTTTAACATGATACATAGTTTTGGGAGTAAAACAGTGACTATAATGACTGTTAGACAAATTTTCTATATTAGATATTTTTCCAAAATCGAAAAGTACTAAATTTTCGGTTCAACCCAATTTAAAACAGTCAAACCATATATTTTTCAAATATTTTTTTTTCTTCTGCTGCTTCTCACATTACCACTTATCAGCATATATATGCTTATATTCAAATTTATTATATTTTGATATATATATGCCATACATTTCGAACGACTTAAGGAAGCCTAAAAATAAATCATTCATGCTTAAAATACCACATATCATTCAGGCTGTGATTTCATTAATGACTACGAGGGGGACTCACCCAGAGTATTGGATTTCAACTTCCACACCACTCGACTCTGCTCTGTTTAAAAATGTATTTCAATAATGAGCACAAACAACAGCAACAAATTACAATATCGATTACCTGGAAAATGATTGAGAACATTGTATTCATATTTGTGTTGTTGTTGTCGTTATTGGCATTTTTCTTTCCGTTTTTTTCGAGTTTCTTATCGACATGTTGTGTATCAGCATCATAAATCACCGCCGCGCATATCGATTAACCCCATTACCCCCTCGCCGGGCTAGGCGGTCGCCTAAAAAGTAATTAAAAATAATTAATCACTTATTTAAACGAACTCGGTGACTTGGTTGGATGGCTGGCTGGCTGTTTGACTGACAAAATCGTTAGCTAACCATCTGATGGGGGTAGGGTAATGGGGTGAATATCAGTAAATGAGCCCACTTAAATACTTAACACTCTACAATTAAGTGTAATTATATTTTTACCTTATTAGAAAAAAATTTGTTTGGTTTTTTTTATTTATTTTTTGTTGTCTTACTGAGCCTTTTTGTTGGCGTTGTTTCTTTTGTCATTATTTTTCCATATTTTTTAGAAATAGTAATGAATAATAACAAATGATTAACCACATTAATAATAGTTTATTAATGTTATTATTGTTGCCGCAATGAAAAGTTAACAAAACGATTCGTATTTTTTTTTTAATGGGAAGAAGAAGACTTTTGAAGGGAAGGAGGGGACACGTCAAAAAAAAAAACAGCATGTTGTACAGGAAGAGGTGGGTAAATGGCAATAAATTAAATAACA